TGATGATGGTGATGATGATGGTGATGACTGTGCAAGTGATGATCATGATCACGATTATGGTGCAGGTGAAGGTGAAGGTGATGTGAGTGGTCCTGAAGATAAGGATGATCACTACCTTCTTTCATCAGCAGTTCTCTTATCTCTTGTTCCAATCGTCCTTGTTGGTCTTCAAGCTGAATAGAATTGCCACTGAAATGACACAAAACAGAGCTAGTTCTAGTTTCGATTGCGATAGGCATATTCAGCATTAGTTGGACAACATAATCTTTCGTAAGTGCCTCCGCCCACTTGGGACACTAAGAGTAAGTTTTATTTACTGTATCTTGGATACTTACTGTATGACTAGCTCAGATTCATATCGTAAGAGTGCATTCTTTCGGTTGATGATCTGGAACCACTGCATCATGTACTGTTTTTCTTGATCAGGGCTTACTGGAATTAAAAGAGAAAATAATAATAAAAAAAACAAATTGAGAAATGAACTGACAAACAAGAACCAAAATTTAAAAATTTAAGGATATTGGTACAATGTTCTTCTTCCGGGCAGTCTTTAGAAAACGGAAGTTTAAAAAGGCAAAAAGGCTCTTGCTTCTTGTTCACACCATGAGCGATGAACATCGCGAGGATTTTACTCACTTTTCCTCTCTCCGCAAAAACAAAATGCAGCTTCTAAATTTCAATTCCATCATTGAATGAGTACCACAAGTTTGCTAGTCACTTGCTATTAAGTTAGTACTACCATCGAAAAGCAAGGACGTTTTTTTAAGAAGAAGATTAACTCACAGTCTCCGCTTCTTAGAGCTTTTTCAACGYGGACACCATCTTTCTCTACTTGTGCTTGTTTGACTTCAACCTCCTGTAGCTCACGCTGGATCTGCTGTGCCTGTCGTAGCCTCTTTGAATGACGCTGTTTCATTGCAATACGAATTTTAAGTTGTTCCTGTCTCTTTTCTTTCTCCTCTACTGATTCAATGACGCTTTTGTTCTATGAAATATGAACAAAACAAATAAACAAGTAAAATATATATCGAAAAACCTTATCCTACTATGATGACTAGCGATTGGAAACAAGTGGCCAAAATGTTTCCTGTTAATGAAACACATTGCCAAAGATGATGGGGTTCACTCTTTTGCTATCATGCGCACTGTATATATGGCCATGGTAAGCATAGATAGTTTGCAGTAACGATCTAACATGAATTACCTTGTATCTTCTTGCACCAGTTCGTTGGAAGCTGCCTCGTTTTTCATTTTCTAAAACATCCTCTTCGCTGGAACCACTAAACAAGTCTTGATGTCGCTCGTCTTCTTCTCGTTTGAAAGAGCGTGGAGGTTTGGGTGGAGCTGTGATTAATGACATTATATAGGAACATCATAGGAAATGACTTGAGGTGAGACAGTCTACTAACGCTAGGAATATCTACACTCGTTCATCACTTTTCAAAATTCTACTCTCATTTTTTTTTAACAACTTTATCAGGGTACTCTCGAAGATTAAGCTTGTATAAAATTGGGTGTTCCAAGAATACTGAGTTACCTGTTCTGTAGGGAGAGGGTATATCATTGTATTGGGTGTTCCAAGAATACTAAGTTACCTGTTCTGTAGGGTGAAGGTATATCATTGTATCCTACCACTTCAAATCCAAAATCTTTAGCAACTTGGTCAATATTTTCCTGTATAAAATTGATGTCCCGTTCGACATAGTTCACGTTAGCCTTGGGTTTGGGCGTGGGTCGTCGTTTGGCAATCTTAGTGCTATTTATGGTTGACGTGTAGGGTTCTTCGTGGGAGGGGACACGAGGAAGAGAACGCCTTTGCTGTGATGGACTCTCTAAAAAAGTGTCACAAAATATCATACAATCATCATCATCCTATATTATCATCCGTATCGTTATCATCCCCATTATCATAATCACTATCAACATCCTCATCATCATCATATATCATCCTCATCATCACCACCACCGACATCATCCGCATCGTCATCATCCCCATTATCATAATCACTATCAACATCCTCATCATCATCATCATATATCATCCTCATCATCACCACCACCGACATCATCCGCATCGTCATCCTTATCATCACCAACACCAACCACACTGTCCATCGTCATTATTCGTCATTATCACATTATCACATATTWAATGGCCAACAACAACAAAACATATGCATGGTTTCAACATCAGTTTTATCATGGTCAATCACCGTTATAAGCTGCAGTATAACCACTAAGTTACCTTGACTTGTGATCTTTTCTTCTTCATTTGCCGGTCTGTCAAAGCTTTTCAAGTTCTTCGATCTGATATCATTGTCCATAAGTCCTCGTATCCTTGCAGCACGAGACGACACAAGTGACCCAGAAGACTTGCTGTTCACTGGTCGTTTGGTGTCCCCAGTTGTGATAGCAGCTTTGGCATTCTGATTTTTTGTTGAAACAGATGTTTCTTGTTGTTCTTGACTGGCTATTTTCTTGTCGTGTGCGTTATCATTGATATCTATATCAACAATTTTGACATTCATACCAGTTTTTCTCAAGGAGGCTTCTATGGAGTCGTCGCCATTTTTCTCGCTAGACACCAGTTTCTTGTTCTGGTCTTCTGGCGAAAACACCTGCGACAGTGGAGGATACATTGCTCTACGTTGACGACGTTTTCTTTCTACAGTTCCCAGCTTATGAGTCATGTCCAAGCCACTTGGCTTCATGGAGCCTTTGATGACTTCTTCAGCTGATTCTTTCTTCTCTAATTTCTTCTTCACAACAGAAGGTTCTGGTGCCTTAGATTCATTTTCTGTGTATTCATTGAACATTGTTTTAGTTGGTGATGGAACTCGTATAGGTGATTTTGAACCACTCTCTTCTTCGACGTTCAATAGCCCATCATCAAGTTTGTACCCTTTAGCTTTGGATCGAACAGTCTTGTCGGAWCTACGTGTTGATGAAATACTTGATCTTCTAAGTGGTCGAGCCTCCAACCCAAAGAATCGACCAGAGTTTGGTCGGTTACGTTCAAGCAATGGTTCTTTTTCTTGTTCCTCTTCATTTGTCTGGACAGTGTCTTGTGTTTCAATCTTCTTCATTTCCACTTCAGCAGCTTCTTCAAGCCTTTTCTTCTCTTCTGCATGGTTTTTGATTCTTTTGGCAGCTTCATGAACAGCAGCTCGAGTTTCTTGAGGGTTGCTGATTGTCAAAGATTTCCCCCTGCGCTTTTTCTGATTCTTCTGGGAAGCTGAAATATAAAAACAGGAAATTCAAGGAATGGGTTTGTGAAATAAACGGCAATGGAGCTCGGCTGGTGAAAGATAAAAATAGACAGCAAACAAAAGAATGGTAGGAAGAGTTGTTTGAGACGAATTGTGATGGTTTTGAAGGGAAAGACAATCAGTTTATTATGCAAGTACAAAGCAAACAGAAGTTCTATCAAAGAAAGAGGAATTTGCGAGAAAGAATAAAAATGAATAATATAGAAAAAAAAATCCTAAAATGGACTTCACCTTTGCGACGTTTTTCGTCCTCTGCTCTTGAGGTATTGATGACTTTATAATAATGAGGTCTGCAATAAAAATGGCCTCGTTCATCTTCAGATTCCCATGGTGGAATGTAAGAATATGCACCTAGACGAAGAGTATTTAGACACAGCTCACATTTGAAGCATTCTCGATGGAAAAAGAGCCCCTCTGCTGACATTCGCTCCATAAGATAAACCCATCGGTTACAGAAATAGCAATGTTCACTTCCGGTATCTCTTGGAATATTTGGAATATTTGGAACCTGGATCATAAGACAATAGTAGGAATGAGGACCTAGGAACGTAATGAATACGATAAAATACAGCATTGTTACATACCACAGTAGTTCCATCCTTCGCACCAAACACTTGTTCAGCAAGTAAGCTGATTCTGTTACTTGTTTTAGCAGCTGGTTTGCTTCTGAGGGTAACTGGTTCTTCTATTGGTGTAGGTGTTTCTGGGGTCTTGGGGCTCGGTGGTTCTATGTTTTCCTACCAAGTGGAGAACAAATATCACAGGAGTAAGACTGGAGGGAGTACAAATGATCCTGCTATATTTGCACGCTACAAATAATTAATGGTTCATGGAACGTATCGCAAGTCACGCATTTGTAATATTCAGTATATTCAGAGCAGATATCAAGGTTATATCAGAGGACAGAGACATGTTATATTTTAATTGTTTACAAGTAAACCTGTACATTTGAAGACTGTTTGATTTTCTTTGGTACGACACTAGCACTACTGCTATCACTCTTTCTTTTTTCCTAAAAAATAAATCAATATATTTTAATTTCAGACATCTAGAACAAAATATTAGGTTGGAATCGAGCTCTAGCCTCCTCTGCAGCCGTCATTGGTTTTGGTTCCAGATCCGAAAGAAATGATCGCTGCAGAGGAGACTAGTAGAGATCAAGTTKGAAGACAAAATGAAAAACTTTTATTTTTCCGAGAAGTACCACTATTCAAATGATAGCATTTCTTACTTTAATCAGACTCAGTACACCAATACTGTCACCTGMAATACAATAGATTTGCTAAAGGTCYTCCTGTTTTACCTGTCATTATRATAACCAAAAAATACAGTACCTTTTTGCGTGMCATGCGTGCAATGATTGACAGCTTAGAAAGAGGCGATGTCGTTTTATATTCCTGCTTTTCATTGTCTTCTTTCATCTTCTTTTTATCCACTAAAATATTACAAAACCATGACTGTTACTATTGG